CTGTAGTGGAGGTCACAGCCTGGCTGGGCTTCCTTAGTGAAGCTGTAGTGGAGGTCACAGCTTGGCTGAGCTTCTTAGTGAAGCAGTTGTGAAGGTCACAGCTTGGCTGGGCTTCCTTAGTGAAGCTGTAGTGGAGGTCACAGCTTGGCTGAGCTTCCTTAGTGAAGCAGTTGTGGAGGTCACAGCTTGGCTGGGCTTCCTAAGTGAAGCAGTAGTGGAGGTCACAGCTTGGCTGAGCTTCCTTAGTGAAGCAGTTGTGGAGGTCACAGCTTGCTGGTTCCTTAGTGAAGCAGTTGTGGAGGTCACAGCTTGGCTGGGCTTCCTTAGTGAAGCAGTAGTGGAGGTCACAGCTTGGCTGAGCTTCTTAGTGAAGCAGTAGTGGAGGTCACAGCTTGGCTGAGCTTCCTTAGTGAAGCAGTAGTGGAGGTCACAGCTTGGCTGGCTTCCTTAGTGAAGCAGTAGTGGAGGTCACAGCTTGGCTGGGCTTCCTTAGTGAAGCAGTAGTGGAGGTCACAGCTTGGCTGAGCTTCCTTAGTGAAGCAGTAGTGGAGGTCACAGCTTGGCTGAGCTTCCTTAGTGAAGCAGTAGTGGAGGTCACAGCTTGGCTGGGCTTCCTTAGTGAAGCAGTAGTGGAGGTCACAGCTTGCTGGGCTTCCTTAGTGAAGCAGTAGTGGAGGTCACAGCTTGGCTGGGCTTCCTTAGTGAAGCAGTAGTGGAGGTCACAGCTTGGCTGGCTTCCTTAGTGAAGCTGTAGTGGAGGTCACAGCTTGGCTGGGCTTCCTTAGTGAAGCAGTAGTGGAGGTCACAGCTTGGCTGAGCTTCCTTAGTGAAGCTGTAGTGGAGGTCACAGCTTGGCTGAGCTTCCTTAGTGAAGCAGTAGTGAGGTCACAGCTTGGCTGAGCTTCTTAGTGAAGCAGTAGTGGAGGTCACAGCTTGGCTGAGCTTCTTAGTGAAGCAGTAGTGGAGGTCACAGCTTGGCTGAGCTTCCTTAGTGAAGCTGTAGTGGAGGTCACAGCTTGGCTGAGCTTCCTTAGTGAAGCAGTAGTGGAGGTCACAGCTTGGCTGAGCTTCCTTAGTGAAGCAGTAGTGGAGGTCACAGATTGGCTGAGCTTCCTTAGTGAAGCAGTAATGGAGGTCACAGCTTGGCTGAGCTTCCTTAGTGAAGCAGTAGTGGAGGTCACAGCTCGGCTGAGTTTCCTTAGTGAAGCAGTAGTGGAGGTCACAGCTTGTCTGGGCTTCCTTAGTGAAGCAGTAGTGGAGGTCACAGCTTGGCTGGGCTTCCTTAGTGAAGCAGTAGTGGAGGTCACAGCTTGGCTGAGCTTCCTTAGTGAAGCTGTAGTGGAGGTCACAGCTTGGCTGAGCTTCCTTAGTGAAGCTGTAGTGGAGGTCACAGCTTGGCTGGGCTTCCTTAGTGAAGCTGTAGTGGAGGTCACAGCTTGGCTGAGCTTCTTAGTGAAGCGTGTGGAAGGTCACAGCTTGGCTGGGCTTCCTTAGTGAAGCTGTAGTGGAGGTCACAGCTTGGCTGAGCTTCTTAGTGAAGCAGTTGTGGAGGTCACAGCTTGGCTGGGCTTCCTAAGTGAAGCAGTAGTGGAGGTCACAGCTTGGCTGAGCTTCCTTAGTGAAGCAGTTGTGGAGGTCACAGCTTGACTGGGCTTCCTTAGTGAAGCAGTTGTGGAGGTCACAGCTTGGCTGGGCTTCCTTAGTGAAGCAGTTGTGGAGGTCACAGCTTGGCTGGGCTTCCTTAGTGAAGCAGTAGTGGAGGTCACAGCTTGGCTGGACTTCCTTATTGAAGCTGTAGTGGAGGTCACAGCTTGGCTGGGCTTCCTTAGTGAAGCAGTAGTGAGGTCACAGCTTGGCTGGCTTCCTTAGTGAAGCATATGGAGGTCACAGCTTGGCTGGCTTCCTTAGTGAAGCAGTAGTGGAGGTCACAGCTTGCTGGGCTTCCTTAGTGAAGTAGTGTGGTCACAGCTTGGCTGGGCTTCCTTAGTGAAGCTGTATGGAGGTCACAGCTTGGCTGAGCTTCCTTAGTGAAGCTGTAGTGGAGGTCACAGCTTGGCTGGCTTTCTTAGTGAAGCTTAGTGGAGGTCACAGCTTGGCTGAGCTTCTTAGTGAAGCAGTTGTGGAGGTCACAGCTTGGCTGGGCTTCCTTAGTGAAGCTGTTGTGGAGGTCACTGCTTGGCTGAGCTTCCTTAGTGAAGCAGTTGTGGAGGTCACAGCTTGGCTGGGCTTCCTTAGTGAAGCAGTTGTGGAGGTCACAACTTGGCTGGGCTTCCTTAGTGAAGCAGTTGTGGAGGTCACAGCTTGGCTGGGCTTCCTTAGTGAAGCAGTTGTGGAGGTCACAACTTGGCTGGGCTTCCTTAGTGAAGCAGTAGTGGAGGTCACAGGTTGGCTGGGCTTCCTTAGTCAAATGTAATATTTAGGTGTTCAGGCTTGATTAAATGTTCAGTTTCTTAGCCTATGAAGGTGTCCAGTTCCTCAGTCTCAGTAAACATTCAGTGAAGGTGTCCAGTTCCTCAGTCTCAGTAAACATTCAGTGAAGGTGTCCAGTTCCTCAGTCTCAGTAAACATTCAGTGAAGGTGTCCAGTTCCTCAGTCTCAGTAAACATTCAGAGAAGGTGTCCAGTTCCTCAGTCTCAGTAAACATTCAGAAGGTGTCCAGTTCCTCAGTCTCAGTAAACATTCAGTGAAGGTGTCCAGTTCCTCAGTCTCAGTAAACATTCAGTGAAGGTGTCCAGTTCCTCAGTCTCAGTAAACATTCAGAGAAGGTGTCCAGTTCCTCAGTCTCAGTAAACATTCAGAGAAGGTGTCCAGTTCCTCAGTCTCAGTAAACATTCAGTGAAGGTGTCCAGTTCCTCAGTCTCAGTAAACATTCAGTGAGAGGTGTCCAGTTCCTCAGTCTCAGTAAACATTCAGTGAAGGTGTCCAGTTCCTCAGTCTCAGTAAACATTCAGTGAAGGTGTCCAGTTCCTCAGTCACAGTAAACATTCAGAGAAGGTGTCCAGTTCCTCAGTCTCAGTAAACATTCAGTGAAGGTGTCCAGTTCCTCAGTCTCAGTAAACATTCAGTGAAGGTGTCCAGTTCCTCAGTCTCAGTAAACATTCAGGAAGGTGTCCAGTTCCTCAGTCTCAGTAAACATTCAGTGAAGGTGTCCAGTTCCTCAGTCTCAGTAAACATTCAGAGAAGGTGTCCAGTTCCTCAGTCTCAGTAAACATTCAGAGAAGGTGTCCAGTTCCTCAGTCTCAGTAAACATTCAGAGAAGGTGTCCAGTTCCTCAGTCTCAGTAAACATTCAGAGAAGGTGTCCAGTTCCTAAGTTTTGGTAAATCTAATACGGAGGCTCGAGGAAGGAAAATTTTATACTGGAGGCTGAGGAAGAAGCAACCATATTGGATCTCATCTCAGCAGATTCAGTCTGTATTCCTGGTTCATCTTAGGAGAAGAATAATACTTTCTGTTTTGTTTTTTTTGGCCGAGTAAGTTGCAAATTTGTTAATTTACAATTATAGTTAATAAACTTTGAATTTGTTGGATTTCGTGAGATAATTAGAGACCGTTGTCTCGTCGCTTTCACAGCCTTGAGGTGTTTTTCTCATTGGAACATCGATATTGGTTGATTTTAAATTTAATCTGCCAATAAAATTATGTAATACCTCGAAAATGATTCTTGCGATCGGCTTCAAACTTTAATGGAAACCTCACTTAGGAGTAAAGTTAGAGCTGATTTTAGCACTGTTTCGGTGCCACTTTGCCCATTTCATTAAAAAAAATTAAGAAGCCCCATCTGTCTCTATCAAGATACCGAACCATCGTGTATCATGTGTGTGAGTCAAGGATAAGACAGTGGAAGGACCTCAGACTAATAAAGCAGCAGTAAACAGTAAATCATTTCACAAAGTTCAGATCAACAAGTTGTATGATGGAACTTGGAGTATCACAGCTGATGAGTGAAGTTGTAACTTGAAAACTTTAACATAATGCCTCAGGGGAATAAATATTATAACGAAGAAAATATATTTCCCATAATAGTAGAAAGTATCACAAAAAAACAGGTATTTTAACAATTCATTTTTAACAATAAAAATAATTTAACAATAGTATCAGTTAATAAAGGAATTAAAAGTATAATAAACCAAATCCAAAATATAATAAATATATAAGACAAAAAACTTTTTAAAATTAACAAAAATATACATTCAACAACTGCTAATAAATATATGTAACTATTTGTACAATGAAATACTTTAAAGACAGTGATGGAGTGAATGATGATGAAAGTTTTTCTTTTTCAGGCCACGCTACCTTGGTGGGAAACGGCCGATGTGTTAATAAAATAAATAATAAATAAATAATAATATATATATATAATATATATATATATATATATATATATATATATATATATAATATATATATATATATATATATATATATATATATATATATATACAAACACTGATCTCTGGCTGAAGGAGACTCGAACCTACGAACCTTAGGACAAGGTACGTAATGCTTTACCAATCTACCCACACTGGACAATACCTTGGCGTGCAGCTTGCGCTACACGTTTGATCCAAGGCAGCCAGCTTTCAGGGAGAAGGCTTACAGCTTTTCATCTCATCTCCTGCATGCATCAGCCTTACTAGAGATTTTAACAATGCAAGGAATTCGCGAGAGCAGGCGAAATATACACAAACACTGATCTCTGAAAGCTGGCTGCCTTGGATCAAACGTGTAGCGCAAGCTACATGCCAAGGTATTGTCCAGTGTGGGTAGATTGGTAAAGCACTGCGTACCTTGTCCTAAGGTTCGTAGATTCGAGTCTCCTTCAGCCAGAGATCAGTGTTTGTGTATATTTCGCCTGCTCTCGCGAATTCCTTGCTATATATATATATATATATATTATATATATATATATATATATATATATATATATATATATATATATATATATATATATATTAAGTAGGTTGGTAGACAGCAACCACCCTGAGAGGTACTACCGTCCTGCCAAGTGAGTGTGAAACAGAAACCTGTAATTGTTTTGCATGATTGGTGGTGTCTTTTTTTTGTCTCATAAACATGCAAGGCTTCAGGTATGTCTTGTTACTTCTACTTACACTTAGGTCACACTACACATATATGTACAATCATATATACACACACCCCTCTGGGTTTTTTTGTATTTTCTTACTAGTTCCTTTTTCTGTTTATTGCCTCTAATCTCAATGGGGAAGTGGAACAGAATTCTTCCTCCGTAAGCCATGCGTGTTGTAAGAGGCGATTAAGATTCCGGAAGCAAGGGGCTAGTAACCCCTTCTCCTGTTTACATTACTAAATTTAAGAAGAAAAATTTTCGTTTTTATTTTTGGGTCACGCTGCCTCGGTAGGATATGACCAGTTTGATGGTTATATATATTAAAAGAACTGCAGCTGGAGAAGACTCGATCCTGAGTTCCCATGCCCAGCCCCAAACAGGATGAGGTTGAAATTAGTCTCTGAGGCTCCACGACAACGTATGACCTTGAACCAGGGAAAAGACGCTCAGTACTGCTGAGAACCTGCGAGAAGAAAACAAAGTTTAATAAACTAGTTTTACATAAGTTTGTTCATGTTTATAGGCAACTATTCTTCTGAATCTCCCAACAGCACTGTGTCATCTGCAAAGAGCAACTATGACAACACTCACAGTACAGAACGGTCTAGCATTTTACAATCTCATCTATAAACATATTACGCAAAGAACAACAAAATAATATTTTTGATGCATATCGCGACATTCAGAGATGTCGAGGCGTTATGTGACATATTTCAGCTTATAGCTGCAATATAGGTATATAAATAAGAGACAAATTTGACATAGCATTTAAAGCTAACTGTTACTTAAAATTCGCTTCTGTACACATCCTAAGGCAACTTATTTTCTAATAAAAACTCAAAACCTTTCTTTACCTCTTCATACTAAGTACAAAAATCTTCCTGTACAAACGTCTTGTTTCTACACTTACTCTCTCTAAACTTTCATACTCACACAGACTTACAAAATACAGATAATGGATTATTCACTTATCCAATTTTATTCGTTCGTCTCATATTTACACATTTTACGTCTTTTCACAATAAGAAAAATTGTACCAATTTATCATCAACTCTACAGAGTACTTGAAAATGTTTCGGTACATCACAGAAGAGTAAACAGAGTAAAAAAAGAAGACCAAATTGTCTGACTAGAGGAAAAGAAAGTTAGTAATTATAGTATAATAGTGTTTCTGTAGTATAGTAGTAGTGTAGTAGTAGCATCAGTGTAGTATACAGTAGTGGTATATATACTACATGAAGTAATAAGTGTAGTAGATTATACATGTCAATAAGTGGTATTAGTACAGTTTGGTATATGCACTATTGTAGTAATAAGAGCAGTGAAGTAGTAGTAAGTAGTGTAGTAGTAGTAGTAGCAGTGGTTAGTAGTATTATGTAGTAATACAGTGGTAGATAGTATCAGTAGTGGTAGTAGTAGTAGCTAGTGTAGTAGTAGTAGATGGTAGTATTAGTAGTAGTAAGTAGCAGTGGTAGTAGTAGTTGTAGTAACAGTAGCAGTGGTAGTAGTAGTAGTGGTAGTAGTAGTATGGTAGTAGTAGTAGCAGTGGTAGTAGTAGTAGTGTAGATGTAGTAGTATGGTAGTAGTAGAGTAGCAGTGGTAGTAGTAGTAGGGTAGTAGCAGTAGTATAGCAGTGTAGTAGTAGTAGTGGTAGTAGTAGTACTGTAGTAGTAGTAGCAGTGGTAGTAGTAGTGGTAGTAGTAGAGTAGCAGTGGTAGTAGTAGTAGTGGTAGTAGAGTATAGTAGCAGTGGTAGTAGTATAGTAGGTGGTAGTAGTAGTGAGAGTAGGGTAGCAGTAGGTTAGTAGTAGTGGTAGTAGCAGTAGTAGTAGCAGTGGTAGTAGTAGTAGTGGTAGTAGTAGTAGCATGAGTAGTAGTAGCAGTGTAGTAGTAGTGGTAGTAGTAGAGTAGCAGTGGTAAGTAGTAGTGTAGTGTAGTAGTAGCAGTGTAGAGTAGTAGTGGTAGTAGTAGTAGTGGTAGTAGCAGTAGTAGTAGCAGTGTAGTAGTAGTAGTGGTAGTAGTAGTAGAGTGGTATAGTAGTAGAGTGGTAGTAGTAGTAGCAGTGGTAGTAGTAGTAGTGGTAGTAGAGAGTAGCAGTGGTAGTAGTAGTAGTGGTAGTAGTAGTAGCAGTGGTAGTAGTAGTAGTGGGTAGTAGTAGGAGTAGCAGTGGTAGTAGTAGTAGTGGTAGTAGCAGTAGTAGTAGCAGTGGTAGTAGTAGTAGTGGTAGTAGTAGCAGTGGTAGTAGCAGTAGTAGTAGCAGTGGTAGTAGTAGTAGTGGTAGTAGTAGTAGCAGTGGTAGTAGTAGTAGTGGTAGTAGTAGCAGTGGTAGTAGCAGTAGTAGTAGCAGTGGTAGTATAGTAGTAGTTGGTAGTAGTAGTAGCAGTGGTAGTAGTAGTAGTGTAGTAGTAGTAGTAGCAGTGGTAGTAGTAGTAGTGGTAGTAGTATAGCAGTGGTAGTATAGCAGTGGTAGTGGTAGTAGTGGTAGTAGTAGTAGTGGTAGTAGTAGTAGTGGTAGTAGTAGGAGTAGCAGTGGTAGTAGTAGTAGTAGCAGTGCTAGTAGTAGTAGTGGTAGTAGTAGGAGTAGCGGTAGAAGTAATGGTAATAGTACTGAAAGTAAAATTAATGATAGTTGTATCGATAGTATTAATATTAGAAATAGTATTAATAATAAAAAACAACAACATTACCCTATCCATAGTATCTCCTGACGTAACGTCCTGTGGCGTAGCGTCCTGTGGCGTAGCGTCCTGTGGCGTAGCGTCCTGTGGCGTAGCGTCCTGTGGCGTAGCGTCCTGTGGAGGGAAAGACTCATGTGAAGGAACATATATTCACATTTCTTCAAAGAAGCGGATACATTACAATTTACGAAGGCAGTTTGAAGCAAATAGCAATAATTAATATTCATTACTGAACAACTGATTGTGATAACTTAGAAGTTACAAAATACATAAACCACTAGATTCACATACACACACACACACACACACACACACACACACACACACACACACACACACACACACACACACACATACACAGAGAATAGGGGGGTACTCGAAGGGGAGAAACCGACCAATCAAGCTGATTCTCAGGACGGAAACAGTGCGGAACAGGATCCTCCAAGAGAAACCACGATTGAAATACTCGGAAGAGTACAAGAGGGTGTTCCTAGACAGAGACAGAACAAAATCAGAACGACAGCAGCTGAGGGAGAGGACAAAAAAGCGAAAGGAGCAATTAAAAGAGACAAGGATGGAACCAACAGAGGTCAGTCAGAGCAGAACAGAACAGCAAGGGCAAGCACACACACAACTATTCTCAGAACCATACAACCTATCACACAATCCCAACACACACTACAATCCATTCCCACAGCCTCCACCCAACACCGAGCTATAGAATCCCACAGTATGCTACCAGGTCTCCCACCCTCACAGACCCCCCAGACCACAGTGTTGGAAAGGAAACTGAAGGTATGGTACACAAACGCTGATGGAATAACAAATAAGTGGGAGGAGTGGCATGAAAGAGTCAAAGAAGCATCACCGGACATCATAGCTCTCACAGAAACCAAGCTTACAGGTATGATAACAGATGCCATCTTTCCAACGGGATACCAAATCCTGAGGAAAGACAGAGGGAACAGGGGGTGTGGAGGAGTGGCATTGCTGATCAAAAATCGCTGGAATTTTGATGAGCTGGAGAGAGGAGACAGCAGAGAAGAAAGTGATTACATAGCGGGAACGCTTCACTCTGGAGGTCCCAAGGTGGAAATAGCAGTGATGTATAACCCACCACAGAACAGCAGGAGGCCAAGGCAAGAGTACGACGAGAGCAATAGAGCGATGGTTGACACACTGGCTAGAGTGGCCAGAAGAGCTCATGCATGCAGGGCAAAGTTCCTGATCATGGGTGACTTTAACCACAAGGAGATCGATTGGGAGAACTTGGACCCACATGGGGGCCAAGATACATGGAGGGCTAAGATGATGGAGGTGGTACTGGAAAACTTCATGTGCCAACATGTAAGGGACACTACAAGAGAGAGAGGAGAGGATGAACCAGCAAGACTGGACTTAGTATTCACCTTGAGTAGTGCAGATATCGAGGACATCACATATGAAAGACCCCTTGGGGCCAGTGACCATGTGGTTTTAAGCTTCGAATACACAGTAGAGCTACAAGTGGAGGGAGAAGCAGGAAGGCCAGGACGAATGAAGCCAAACTACAAGAAAGGGGACTACACAGGAATGAGGAACTTCCTGAACGGGGTTCAGTGGGACAGAGAACTGGCCGGGAAGCCAGTTAATGAGATGATGGAATATGTAGCAACAAAATGCAAGGAGGCTGAGGAGAGGTTCGTACCCAAGGGTAACAAGAATAATGAAAAAGCCAGGATGAGCCCATGGTTTACCCAAAGGTGCAGGGAGGCAAAAACCAAGTGTGCTAGGGAATGGAAGAAATATAGAAGGCAAAGGACCCAGGAGAATAAGGAGAGCAGTCGTAGAGCCAGAAACGAATATGCACAGATAAGAAGGGAGGCCCAAAGACAATATGAAAACGACATAGCAGACATGACATAGGAGACAGACATGAAGCATTAAACTACAGACCAGTGTCACTGACATGTATAGTATGCAAAATCAGGAGAAGAGTGGTGGAACACCTAGAAAGGAACTATCTCATCAACAGCAGCCAACATGGTTTCAGGGACGGGAAATCCTGTGTCACAAACCTACTGGAGTTCTATGACATGGAGACAGCAGTAAGACAAGAGAGAGAGGGGTGGGTGGATTGCATTTTCTTGGACTGCAAGAAGGCGTTTGACACAGTTCCACACAAGAGATTGGCGCAAAAACTGGAGGACCAAGCAGGGATAAAAGGGAAGGCACTACAACGGATCAGGG